CAGGGCTGGAAATAGAAAAGGTGTTGGGATCCCCATGATGAGGAGAGGGCTACCATCAGCCTGAGCCATGCAGTTGAATGGCTAATGAATGCGTGAGGGGACTGACACTGCTCCTATAGCTGCTGGCCTCTTAAGGTGGTGGTGAAGTGAGCCCCTAAAGTGGATTGGATGGATATGCATATGCATTACATCCATGACTTCCACACAGCTTCTCCTTTTCCCTCTTTGTGTCCGTTCCTGGAGCTCCTAGCATGGTCTTTCTCATCAACATACCTCCACCTGATCTGTCCCTTCTTCTGGTGTTCTTTAGTGTCATAGTGCATGTAGAGCTTTTTTTGACCAGGGGCCACTTTGACTAGGGGCCACTTGACCAGGGGTCACTTTGACTAGGGACCACTTTGACTAGGGGCCACTTGACCAGGGGTCACTTTGACTAGGGGCCACTTTGACCAGGGACCACTGTGACCAGGAACCACTTTAATCAGGGACCACTTTGACCAGGGACCACTTGACCAAAGACCACTTTGACTTGGGACCACTTGACCAGGAACCATTGTGCCCAGGAACCATTGTGACCAGGGACCACTGTGACCGGGAACCACTTTGTCCGGGAACCACTTTGACCAGGGACCACCTTGACCAGGGACCACCTTGACCAGGGACCACCTTGACCAGGGACCACCTTGACCAGGGACCACTTTGACCAGGGACCACTTGACCAAGGTCCACTTTGACCAGGGACCACTCTCCAGCATTACTACCAAAAGGGTTACGAATCAGCTTTTAGCCAACTTTAGATTTGGTTTGGTTATGTGAGGTGCTAATTCAGAAAATTGCATTGGATAGACCACATCAGTTCTAGTTTCTGATACAGAACATATGTCACCCAGTAGTCGCCATCTGCTCTCCCACAGAAAACCATATTTCATAATCTGGAGACAATGTGGTCTATCCAATGCAATTTTCTGAATCAGCACCTCACATAACCAATGCTCCCCTGCTTCCAAATGCTACATGGAATGGCTCTGCTCAAGGAGACAGAGGAGGAGATTAAGCAGCAGTCAGGAGGCCTTTCATGGGTAGTCAGCCTTTCCTTCCCAACATCCTCATTGCCTCAGAAGTAAAAGAGGGTCTTGCGAGAGCAGTCACTCTCGTTGCAACGGTGTAGTAACGGCGAGATTGCGGACCATATTTTAGTTCTTGGGGACCACTGGTGGTCCACAGATCACAGGCTGGAAACCACTGATGTAGAGCCTGGTGTGTAGTTGGGAAGCACAATTGTAGACTGGGACCCCTGTAATATTGGCTCCCTGGTGGAAAGGGGCCTGTAGGTGACACAATGTGTTACTTCACTGAGTAACACCAACCATATTAATGCCACTGCCCATACCACTCCACTTGCACCATTCTAACTCCTGTCATCCCCACCTATCAGGGATGATGGAGGCTATTAACCAGCAAAATGTGGAGGTCCACAGTTTTTCTGTCCACGGAAGATCTGGAATCTTCTATTTAAGCCAGGGATCCACAAACTTTTTAAACAGAGGGCCAGGTCACAATCCCTCAGACTGTTGGCGGGCCGGATTATAATTCGAAAAAATCATGCACACTGCAAATATCTTATTTGTAGTGCAAAAAACATTTTAAAACAATACAATTTTAACAAATATAAACTTATTAGTATTTCAATGGAAAGTGTGGCCCTGCTTTTGGCTGATGAGATAGGATTGTTGTCATTATTGTGTGCTTTCAAGTAGTTTCATACTTAGGTTGACCCAGAGCGAGGGCCGGGTAAATGACCTTGGAGGGCCGCATCTGGCCCCCGGGCCTTAGTTTGAGGACCCCTGATTTAAGCCATAGAATGTAATGATTTATTGGGTCTTGCTGATTTTTGCTTTTGTTACTTTCTCTATGTCTTTGCAATTGCTTACGCTTGCAGGATTGATCCCATGACTTGAAACTCATAACATGGAAATCATTCACCAGAACTGGATGAAAGTTAGCTATTTGTTGCTTTAATGCAGTTTCTTCTAGGGTAACATTTGTGAAAAATTCTTTATCTTAATCCAAACTCAAACATGCCACCTCAGCCCAGTAAAAACAGGCACTATTGCTGGGTTTACTGACTTATAAAGTGATTAGTTACCCATAACTGTCATAATTCTCCTTTGGAAGTTCTCTAGATAGCAAGTAAAAAAATTAACAGAAGAAACTCCCTTAGAAGAAACAAAATCCCACAGGGCAATAATAGATTTGTATGGAAGGAGTCTCTAATGTCTTAGAGGAGACAATAATGATATGATAACGGAAGCATGTCACTGACACAGTATGCTACCATGCTAGTCAATTGTAATGATGCACAATGGTGCGCCGTGCAATGTCCTATTTCACAGTGGGAGCTCCCATTGCGCAAAATAATACTTTCCACAATAGGTCATCTTGAGCAGTGTCCACACTGCTATCTCTGCTTTCACAGTGGTTCCAATGGCATATCTGTGTCTCCTTATCCCTCTTAAGAATACAACCAGTGACAGTGGTGTAATTCAACCTTATATGATATTAAGTTGGTTTACAATGGTTTACAGTGACATAACTTCCCAATAGCATGCCAGCCCTCTTATTGGCCAGTACCTTGATTTCAGAGTTTCATTGTTTGACTTTCTGGCAAACAAACTACATAGAGTCTTGCTTATCCAACCTTCACTCATCCAATGTTCTGTATTATCCAACACAGTCTGCCTCCCTCCCAGATCCACAGCTGTTTCAATACATTGCGATGTTTTGGTGCTAAATTCGTAAATACATAACATTATTGTGTATTGAAATGCTTTTTCTATCAATTAGTTGTAAAACATGATTTTTTGTGCTTAATTTGTAAAACTGCAACATAATTCGACATTTAATAAGTTTTTCCTTAATCCATCTTTATTATCCAACATTTTCACTTTTAAAAAAATGTTCTGCCAGCCCGTTTATGTTGGATAAGCGAGACTCTACTGTAGTACAATGTGTAGGCCTGTTTGATCAAGAAAAAATTTGTTTCTAAAATCGATTTGTAATTGGGGTGTTTTTTTGTTTCAATATTTAAAATAATTACAAAACTTTCCCCCAAAAAAGTTTTGGTATTTAAGAAATTTTGTAAATATTAACGAATTTTTAGAATATTTTTTGTATTTTTAAGAATAATATTAAAATAATATTAAAAAATATTTTAAAATGGAAAATTAACCAAAAAATGGCCCAAATGTGGACCAAACACAGGCAGGATACAGCAAATGAGAGCACACACCAACAGAAGAGTCTTTTCTTTTTTAGAATATTTTTAAGAATAATATTAAAAAATAATATTAAAAAATAATATTAAAAAATAATATTAAAAAATAATATTAAAAATATTTTAAAATGGAAAATTAACCAAAAAATGGCCCAAATGTGGACCAAACACAGGCAAGAGACAGCAAATGAAGCAAGCAGCACTCACAGCAGCAAGGAATGAATCCAATCCCAGTTGCTAGCAGCCATTGCCAAGCCAACCCAATGCAAACTCCCTCGCCCTCTGCAGCAAGCTACGGGCTGCGCGGAGCCGCTTTGAAAGGGCTCGCCGGCCAATCAAAAACAGACAGCCACGGACCCATGGTGCACTGCTTGGGAGCGCCGGATTGGCTCCCAGGCACCAGCACTCCAGCAGCCTCCACCCCATTAACGAAACGAGCGGAGGCTCGTTAAAACTATGGGGGTTGCTGGTTCGATATTTAAAAACCCTTCCGGGTTTGGAAATATGTTTCAATATCGCTTCGGAAATGCCAAAAATAACGAATTAATAACGAATTAACGAATTAACGAACGAAACCGCACAGGCCTACTAGGCAAAACTATGGTTAGGTAGATCTGTAATTGGTTAAATGGACGAACCCAGAGGGTGCCCACCAGTACTTCCTCTTCATCCTGGAAAGAAGTGACAAGTGGAGTGCCATAAGCAGGGTTCCATCCTGGGCCCGGTCCTGTTCAACATCTATATTAATGACTTAGATGAAGGGTTAGAAGGCATGATCATCAAGTTTGCAGACGACACCAAATTGGGAGGGATAGCCAATACTCCAGACGACAGGAGCAGAATTCAAAATGATCTGACCAGATTAGAGAGACAGGCCAAAACTAACAAAATGAACTTCAACAGGGTCAAATGCAAGATACTCCACTTAGGCAGAAAAAATGAAATGCAAAGATACAGAATGGGGGACGATGCCTTGCTCGACAAAAGATCTTGGAATCTACATGGACAACAAGTTAAACATGAACCGACAATGTGATGCAGCAGCAAAAAAAGCCAATGGGATTCTGACCTGCATCAATAGGTGTCTAGTGTCTAGGTCCAGGGATGTCATGCTTCCCCTCTATTCTGTTTTGGTCAGACCACACCTGGAATCACATTGTGTCCAATTCTGGGCACCGCAATTGAAGAGACATACTGACAAGCTGGAATGTGTCCAGATGAGGGCGACTAAAATGATCAAGGTTATGGAGAACAAGCCCTATGAGGAGTGGCTTAAAGAACTAAGCATGCTGAGCCTGCAGAAGAGATGTGAGGAAAGTCATAGGGAGGAGGGAACAAGCTTGTTTTCTGCTGCCCTGGAGACTAGGATGCAATGGCTTCAAACTGCAGGGGAGGTTTCCAATATATCTCAGATGCCTGCCATGGATGTGCCTGAGAATGCTTCTGGAACATGGCCATACAGCCCAGATAACTCACAGCAATCCAGTGATTCTGGTAGTGAAAGCCTTTGACAACACATTGAATTAAAATTACTCTGAGTGTGTGAAAGTGTAAATATGTATACTCAAATTGTAATAACAGTGGCTTGCTTATTTCAATGATCCTTCAGCTCATACTTTTTGTAGTAATATTTTGAATAACTTTTTGCTGTTGCAGGATTAGTATGGTTTTATAGCATGATTACAATAAAGGATGATGTTAATATGTATTTTTTTTTTCATATTAGGTCCAAAGATTCAGACGATAACATGGACTGGGGAACACTGCAGGCTGTTTTAGGAGGGGTAAACAAACATTCAACTAGTATTGGGAAGATATGGCTGACGGTGTTGTTCATCTTCCGTATTATGATCCTTGTGGTTGCCGCGGAAGAAGTCTGGGGCGACGAGCAAGATGATTTCGTCTGCAACACTCTGCAACCGGGATGCAGAAATGTCTGCTATGATTATTTCTTCCCCATTTCCCACATCCGACTTTGGGCCCTCCAACTCATCTTTGTCTCTACTCCTGCCCTTTTGGTGGCAATGCACGTTGCGTACAGAAGGCATGAGAAGAAAAAGAAGTTCCAAAGAGGAGACAAAAGCTGTGAATATAAGGACATCGAAGAAATCAAGAGACAGAGGTTTCATATTGCGGGACCCTTATGGTGGACATACACTGCCAGTATCTTGTTCAGGCTTATCTTCGAAGCCTCCTTCATGTATGTCTTTTACTATATGTACCAGGGGTATCATATGCCTCGCCTGCTGAAATGCAGCATTTGGCCTTGTCCCAACATCGTGGACTGTTTTGTTTCCCGACCCACTGAAAAAACGGTCTTCACCATTTTTATGATTGCAGTGTCTGGCATTTGCATTCTGCTCAATGTCACCGAGTTCTCTTACTTGCTGCTGAAGTTTTGCATTAGGAGGTCTAGAAGGGCAAGAACCCCAAAGAACCACACCAACCATGAGACCAAAGAGGAAAGTAAACAAAACGAAATGAACGAGCTGATTTCAGATAGTTGCCAGAACACAGTAACAGGATTACCTACCAGCTAAAATGACCACAAGCCTAGTATGCATTTGCTGAGGAATAAAAACAATTGATTATATTTAACTAAGCAATACATTGAGCAGATAAACTTGAGTATTACTACGTGGTGCAATTAGGCATTTTTAAAGGTCTATAACAGCATATTAAGATTAATAAGGATTACAGAAAAATCTGTGTCTTTACATGTATATCTTTACCAAGTCAGCTGTGATTTGTTAGTGTGATACTTGTTAATTGCAGCCCTGGGCCAACTTGGGCCCTCCAGGTGTTTTGGACTCCAACTCCCACAATTCCTAACAGCCTCAGTTCCTTTCTTTTCCCCCCTCAGCCACTTAAGGTTGGCTCTGCATCTCATGGTGCCAGAGTGCAGCCTGTTCAGTGACTTCCAAGTCACCCAATCTTCTGTGTGCCCAGGGGGGAATCTCTCATTCGGATTTTAGCCTGCCACTTTTGGACTCTTGCTTGCTTAAGTGTTCCTGCGAGTATTTCTGTAGATCTAAGAAAACTATTTCTTGACTCCAGAGATATATAAACCCCTTTTCCTGTATTTTATGACTGTTGTGGCATCAAATTGCTGCCAATCTGTAAGCCGCCTTGAGTCACCTTCGGGCTGAGAAAGGCAGGTTAGAAATACCATAAATAAATAAATTTAAATTTATTTAAATAAATAAATTTAAATAAATAAATAACAAATTTCCTAGTTTCTAACAAACCTCACAACCTGTGAGGATGCGTGCCATAGATGCAGGCGAAATGTCAGGAGAGAATGCTTCTGGAACATGGCCATACAACCCAGAAAATTCACAGCAACCCAGTGATTCCAGCCATGAAAGCCTTCAACGATACTATTAGAAATTGTGGGAGTTGAAGTCCAAAACACCTGGAGGGCCGAAGTTAGCCCATGCCTGTGTTAGTGCCTTCGTATCAACACTGATCCTAAAATTAAAGGCAAGGGAAAAGCTGCCTTCCATGTTAAATACGGTTAGTATTGCAAGACACTTTATTACAAAGGTAGCTATTTTAATTGTAATCTTGCAACTAAATGAAAATATTTTTATAAAGTCTGAGATTTTAATGGATGAATGAGTAGTGCCATCTTTTTTATTAACATTATTATTATTTTCTTTAAAACAAGCATGAATGGCAATACCTTTATTCTAATAATGTAGGCACGGATGATTTTTAAGCAAAATTATCTACATGCTGTAAATAATTCTATGAATATTCTGTATACTGCCAGTTATACAAATTTGATGTACTACAATACACTAGTGCTTTATTCGTTTTTGAATAAAATAGATACATTCATTTCATTTTGTGTTTAAGGTCTCAGAATTTTTTTCTTTTTTAATGACAATAATGAGACAAAGAAGAGTAGTTGGGTGAAAATGTGAAATGTTTTTCTTTCAACTACTACGACTAGAAGTTCAATATAAAGTGTTCCAAATAAAAGAAAAATGCCTGTGGTTTGTACATGTTTGTTTATACATATATGTAATTGTCAGTTATTAAAAGAACACATTTTCACTGTATTTCTGTGAAATCAAAGAGACAAAATTATATATTTAGCTTCTTGTTTATTTCAACTCGCAATCCAATGGAGCCCCCAGTGGTGTCATGGGTCAAACCCTTGTGCTGGCTGAACTGCTGACTGCAGACCTGGAGGTCTGCGTTTTGAATCCGTGAGATGAGGTGAGCTCCCATCTGTCAGCCCCAGCTTCCCATGCAGGGACATGAGAAAAGCCTCCCACAGGATGGTAAAACATCTGGCAGATGGCCAACTATCTCACACCAGGAGCAACTTTCAGTTTCTCAAGTCACTCCTGATATGAAAAAAAATTAAATGTTACACTGGCCCCATGATGCACTTTCTCCTCCTGATCTTGTCACTCAGAACTGCCTCCGCTCCCCCACAAAGTGTCTTCAAGGGGATTGAAACTACCTCTATAAGTAAAATTTCTTGATTTCAGTTCATGTCCCCCACAATATTCTCACAAAGAAGCTAGCAAACTGTGGACTAGACAATTCAACTGTTAAGTGGATTGGGAATTGGTTGACTGGCTGAACCCAATGACTGTCTTTCATCCTGGAGAGAAGGAACCAGTGGGTAACTACACAGTTCTGTCCTGGGCCCAAAATGGAATGGGGATTAGTGCGAAGAGATCCTAGGACATAGAGCAGTGGATTCAAGTTGCAGGAAAGTGATTCCACCTAAACATTAGGATGATCTTGCCGAAACATTAGGATGACTTTGCCAATTGTACGAGCTATCCAACAGATTTCACAAATGCTTTCTCAGAATTTGATAGAGGCTCCTTCTCTGGGTGACTTTCAACAACAATATTTATCATGGTCCATAGACCCATCAGTGAAGAAGCAGTCATTAATAAATTCTCCCATCACATTATCCAAAATTAATATACATGGTTTCAAGTACCCTATCCGATGTTAGTTTCTTTCTCAGCCTTGTTGCCACTGTGAGGAATTTTGCCACTATGAGGGTCACCCAGTGGCACTTGTCCTCTAAAAGATATCTAACAATCCCCTGCAAGGGAAGGCTGGTCATGTGGGACAAAATTGGATATAAAAATTGGCTATGTTTCACTGTGTAATAGTGGCACTTCAATAAAATGTGTTCTATTGTTTCTACTTCATTTCCTTCACAGGGGCATAGTCTTTGACAGTAAGTAGTTGCAGACAATCTGCCTCTTAGCAGTTCAGAGGGAAATATGTTTAATCTTGCCTTTGTAAAAAAAAAAACACTGCAATATTTGATCACTGTAAGGCATTTAGGTATTTATTCACATGTCTTAAATGGCTCTCTGTATGGCAAGGTTTTCATTGTGTGTTCCTACATGGCAGGGAATTGGTGTAGATGGCCCTTGGCCTCTCTTCTAACACGATGATTCTATGAATTAAGCCTAGGTGATCATTACAGGCATTTCCGTTGTTGTTTACTTACAGTTCCTCAGAATTAACAAGTCCCCTTCCTATATTAGTATGTATATAATTCCACATTTTAGTCAGCTTTAATTCTGGCCTTGTACATTCCATTCCACTTAAGTACTCTAGAAAAAACTGGTTTATCTTGGAATTGCAAACCACCTACAAGTGTCATTATGAAGCTGGCTCTTTTATTTTAATGCAAGAACTGAGGGGAACTATTKATTTATTTATTTACAATATTTATATACCGCCATTCTCAGCCCGAGGGTGACTCAGRGCGGTAACTATCTTGTGCTGTAAGCAGAAAAAAAAGCCCTAACAATGACTGGCCCAATGATGAAAAAAAGCAAACGTGGGCAGAATCAGCCAGGTAAGACATCTATGCAAAYCCTGCACTGGATCAGGAGGCAAAACAATTCTAATTATTTCTCTTTTTTTTCACTACAGTAAACTAATATATTTATATTTATTTATTTACAGTTTTTATATTCCACCCTTCTCACCCCGCAGGGGACTCAGGGCGGATTACAATGTACATATACATGGCAAACATTCAATGCCATAGACACACGACACATATAGACAGACAGTCAGAGGCTATTTAACATTCCAACTTTTTCTGGCCACCAGGAGAGCTGTGGCTTCACCATCCATCTGCGACTACGAATGTTATAGCATGGTGACAACATTTAGACATATAGAATAAAATAAGGATGGAACTAACAAAGTAGCAAAATGTGGATGTCATGTGAACAATGTATTCTGGTGTGTYCTAAGTCCATCTGTAAGGTAGAAAACTTAAGTGTGTGCTTGGTGTTTGAGTTTCTGTTTTGGGATACCAAACTCTCTTGAACCTAATACAGATGACTTCAGACTCTTTCRCACTACACCAGTGGTTCTCAACCCAGGTGTTTTGGTCTACAACTCCCAGAAATCCCAGCCAGTTTACCAACTGTTAGGATTTCTGGGAGTGGAAGGSCAAAACATCTGGGGACCCACAGATTGAGAATCATAGAATCATAGAGTTGGAAGGGACCTCATGGGCCATCCAGTTCAACCCCCTGCCAAGAAGCAGGAAAATTGTATTCAAAACACCCCCGACAGATGTCCATCCAGCCTCTATTTAAAAGCCTCCAAAGAAGGAGCCTCCACCACACTCTGAGGCAGAGAGTTCTACTGCTGAACAGCTCTCACAGTCAGGAACTACTGCACTACATGAATGTGGCACTTTAATTTCACTTTAATTGCAATGGCTGTTTGGCAGAGAATACTAAATCCCTCAAATATCAATGACTTCAAATCCAAAATTCCATAGGATGGAACCATAATAGTTAATGTGGAATCTGAATGCCATAACTGAGCAGCATGAAAGAGTCCCCAGAAAGCATGGAAGAGTCCCCGGAAAGCCTTCAACAACACAGTCCCCGGAAAGGCTAAAAGAAGCAAAACAAGAATGGAGAGTAGAGACTGAGCTGAGAAAATGTCTAGTATGCACAATGACCTGGTACTTTGTTTTCAGTTGGAACTCCAAGATATACTTCCTATAGATCCGTGGCAGTGGTTGGGAGAGTATACCTTGCACTGCAATGGAATGTTTGGAAGTAAATCCAAGGGCCTACCTCAAACTGGCAAAGCTGGTGTGAAAGAGGTTTTCTTGCCATTTCCGCTGCTCAAGAGGCCTGCCCAAAATTAGTCCACAGGGACTACTTTTGGGGGAGGGCGGAGCCTGGCAAGTTTGCTGCCCTCTTCACTTCCTTTAAGGACAGTTAATTCCGGGAACAGGTTCACCCTCACCAAGTTCATTGCCAAATTCATTGCCAGGTCAATGCCAAGTTCAATGCCAAGGTCATGGATAGAAGTTATGCTCTGTTATGGTGGTGGTAGGTAGATTTCGTTTCTAATTAGGTAACAATAACAAAAGTTGCCCTTAGTTAACCCAAGCATGTGTGTGGCCTCTTTATTTGCGATGGTGGTGTGGCAAAACCCATGTTTCAAATGACTGTCATGAAATAAGAAACAAAACTGCTTGTCCGGGGACCTGTTTGCAGTACCAAAACTGAGTTTGTAGTCCTTTCACACATACCTGTGAGTGTATGTGTACATACACACACTCAATTTCTGTGTTCCCCCTCCTGCAAGCTTTTAGTTTCAGCAATCTAATTTGGAATAGATTCATGCTTTATAGTTGCTTCAGAGCTAAATATCCTTGCTACACTGTAAATCATATGGTGATTTACTCA